AAGCAAAACCGTGAGGGCTGCGGCCAAAGCGGACAATACCCACATGCGGGTTGCTAGGGTGTTACAAATTGTTCTATTTTTTTAGTGATATTTAAAAAGATTAACATGTTTATTTAATTAAAAAAATAAAATTAATTTTGTTTTATTAAATAAATATTTTAATTAAATTCAGTTTTGTTGACTTGGTCTTTTAGATTAAGTCTTATAATATATTTTGACTTGGTCTTCAAGAGATAATTACATTTTTTATCCTAAGACTTGGTAAAAAGGTGTTTTTGAGAAACAATTTCTCTTCATTATAAAAATAACATACAGAAGGCTTTGAGAGTATCTCCTCACACATCTTTTCTTGATTATATTATGAGTCTCATAGATTATTCTCACTTGAAAATTTGTTAGTTTTGATACCTCAATTATTAATTGGGAAAGACTTGTTATATCCTTGGGAGACTTGTGCATCTCGCAGATAAGTCCTTAAGTACAAAGTTATCACACATCTCAGGTTATTATTAATTCTGTGATTGTATAATTTTCATATGAGAAATAGGACTTATGATCAATCGTGAAGATGGACAGCATTGTACAATTACTACAAAAAAAAATCAAGTAATTATTAGCAGTTTTTATAAACAGCCAAAAAATGTTATAATTTTAGGGGTTATTTTAATTAAATTTCTTAAAATTTTTCGGCTGTTAGAAACGGCCGCAATGTTTACCAATTTAATTGAAATATTTTTTTAAATTTTTTTTTAAAAAAAGTTTAGGCTTAATCTATAACATTATATAAAGAGAATACAAACGTTTATAACTACCATTTTGTCTCCACTTTTACTATGACCTTTTTACCCTTAATAATATTACATATTAAATAATTAATACAATTAATTATGTCATTTTATTTAAGTAACTACTCACTCTTATTTCTTTTAACCGCATATTATTTAAGTAATTGCATTCATTGTTCGCACTTTCACATTCCTCTATTTCTTGCTTCCTCTTTTTTTTTTGTTAAAGTGACTTCATATCCCTGCATAATATATCTTCCATTTCATGGTACATCCTTTCTTATGGCAGTCGAGATTCGAGAGAAAGAGAATTTTTCCTCCCCCACTAGTCACTTTATTTCATTATTTTCTTTTCGCAACAAACCCCTCACACCTTTCTTCTTCTTTTTATTCTCTCTATCATATCCTGTTATCGTCTTTGTCTCTCTGTTTTCCCTTCAATCCCGTTAGGCCCATTTCCTTTAAATCTTTCTACTTTTTTTTTTTTCATTTTTTAATCCACTTAAATTGCCCACAATAAACATTTCACCAATTGTATACATTACGACCATCATTGTTCGTTGGTTTTGACGTAGAATGAGAACAAATAGATGGACTAAGACCATGGGAAGGATTTCAAGGATTGCTAGTTTCACAATTGCATCTAAGGATTGAGAGTTTCTTACTTCTGCTTAGATTCCTCGGCCACGTTTTTTCAAGTTGATTCTCTTTTTTCAATTCTATTTTCTCACGCTTATTAAAAAATATTCTACATTAAATTATGTAAATTTAGTCATTTTTTACAATGATTTTTTTTGCATTACTTTTACAGTAAATTTAAATTTATTCAACTTTTTAAAAATTCAAATTTAAGATATCTCTATTTTCCAAATTCAATTTTTCCTTTAAAATTATAAAAATTCTTTTTTAAACTTATTATCTTAATAGATTTAAAATTTTACATATATAATTATATTTTATTAAAAATTCAAATTTAAAATATGCCTAATTTTGAATTTTGAATTTTATTTAATTTTCAATAGTTTTAAAATTACAAAAAAAATATTTTAAAACTTATAAATATTTGGTCTCCACTTTCTTTTATCCAATTTTACCCCTTATTATTATTGATATTGATGGTTACTTTCTTTCAAAATAATAACCGTAACGTAGTTACTTTCTTTCAAAATAATAACCATACTGTGGTTACTTTCTTTCAAAATAATAATCGCACAAATAGTCGTCGTTAAATATGTTATTTTCAAAAAAAATTATAAACCAAATCCATTCTCACTCTATTATGAGTCCCAATCCAACGTTTTGTAAGATAGTGTTTTTTTTCTCTCACCAAAATTTTCATTCAACGCTATCACCAAATCACACAATTATTGTATCTAACTGGGTTGCACATGATTCTTCTGACAACATCACTCCCTACACTTTCAAGCAAGAAACAAAACATATTTTTTGTCCTAAAAAAAGTCAAAACGCGTTGTTGAAATTGACTTACCCGCTTGAATCCTGGTTCCATGACTCATTGCCAATGATATACATCAATGTCTTCCATATTGTGTTTTGATCGATGAAGGCCATTAGTACCTTTGATCTTATGCTTTCCCATTCATAGTTTCTAGGTTAGTATTCTCTTATAACTTCTATCTATAACTTCTATAACTTAAGATTTTACCCTTATTGATGATTACTTTCTTTTAAAATAATAACTACACAATATATCTATAACTTTATCCATTTTTATCTTCTTGCTCTTAGAAATTTTCTCTACCTCATTTGTACAATTTTTTTTCCATTCTCCCTCTCTACATTTTTCTCATCCCAATCAATTCTCAACTTTCGCTTTATTCCAAACTCATCCCCACTATATCCGGGTATGAATCATATTTGCAAGCAAATTGTATTATATTTTAAGTCATCTTCTTTAATATTGGATATAGTGACACATGGTGTAGAAGAATAATACTCTGACCCCGATAAAGACACCATTAAGAAGGATGACTGTGGTTATGACGATTAGTACACCCTTGATAATCATGACTTACATGAGGATGAAGAAACGACTTAAGACTCACAAGTCCATCAAACAAAAGGTATGTTCTGTTTTTTTTTTTACATCATCTACAATTAGATATGCTAAAAATTAGAATAAAAGGAGTGTAATTTTATTTTTTTTTCTCAATGATGACATCGCATCAATGCTATTAGTTACACAAAAATGATATTTAACATGTCTACAAGTTATTCGATCTAAAAGTAATAGTAAAAATTACTTTTAAAAGTTTTAAAATTTACAAAGACATAAATAAATTTAACTATATTTGGAGGACATCCTTTGCATTGAATTCATTTCAAGTTTAGTCAATAGTAAATTTAAATGTATTTTTCTTTCATTTTATGTTTAATCAATTTTTTAAATGTCTATATTTAAAATATGTTTGTTTCTTATTTTGATTTTTATTTTCTAAGTTATAGATTTAATATTTTAAAATTTTATTTGAAAACTTATTATTTTAATATATTTAAAATTTTAAATATATTTATAAATATCTAATATAATTTCAGTAGATATTATAAATTAAAAAATGTTACAATTCAACCATGAAACATAAAATTTAATTTATGTTACCCAAATAATATAATCACTATGTTTGATTGAACTTAAATGTGTATCTTAAATTTATTCTTTTTTTTTCTCAATAAAATTGGGTTTACTAAATTAAATATGTTTATCAATTTTAATCATTTTTTTCATGAAATTATGTTAGTTTTTAAAAGTTATGTTTTTAATATCAAATTTTTTTTTTAGTGTTCAACTCTTTTGTATTAACTAAAATTTGAAAAATGGTAAAAAAAAATAAGTGTTATCTAAAAAATTAGAAAGGTAATATAATAATATGGTTGTGAAAATATTTTATATGTGTCAATTTAATAGATATAAAAATATCATTTTAACATTTCTTCATTTAAATCAATTCTAAAACTCATATTTTTCTCAATATTAAGACACTTGAAAATGCAAAATTAATTAATACCTGTTATATTGACAACTTTCATGCAAAATAAAATATCTCTATTGTTTAGGTTATAGTTATTTCTTTCATAAAACAATAAATTACATGAAATTTTAAATATCTCATATTGATACATGACATTGTATTATTTATTTTTGTAATTTTTTAAAGTCAAAGAAATTATGGATGATGTATTGTATAAAGAATTGAAATTCATTATTGAAAGATATGACATTATTCAATTTAATTATTTATTAATTCTGATATATGTTTTAGTTATGTTAATATTAACTAAATGTAATAGCAGAATGACATTTATTTTTATTATAAATTGCAAGAAATCTAAAAAGAAGTGTAATTTTCATTTAGTCTTCTTATTAAATTTTTTTTATGGTAATAAAACATTATATTATGTAAAATTATTTATATAATTATATATCAATAAATAAATTTATTTTATATATTAATTGTTTTAAATTTTTAAGATAATACCACACGTATTATAATAGGAAAATAGGAAAATACTTCATCGTCCCAAAAGATGAAGATGAAATATCGTCCCAATAATTATAAAATTAATTTAAATAATAAAATATTAGATTAAACAATTATTTTATTATAAACTTATTATAAAATAATAATATTTTAATAATTCTGACTTTTTTATAATATTTTAATAATTCAGACAGTGATTCGGAACATTTTTCGGCTTCTGTAGCATCGCTCTTCAAATAATGTCTCTGCTTCAACTCACGGATCAGATATGTTCCCTCACCAACACCGCCAACTTCCTCCTCAACCGCACTTCCTCCTCTACCATCCGCAAAACGCAGCTTCTTGGCGTCGTTTTCGAGGACCTGATTTGCGTTTCCAATTCCAACTCCGTTTTGTTCCCTTACTTTCTCATCCTCTGCGCCTCGAGAAAATGTACATCGTTCTCCACAAGATCAAAACGCTAATTGAAGATTGCTCCAATGGAAGAAGCAAGTTCAATCTGCTCGTGCAAATCGAAACAGTCGCCGACACCTTCCACGGGCTCACCGGAGAACTTTCCACGCTCCTCGATGTTTTCCCTCTCCAAGAACTCCACCTAAACGATGACGTTCAGGAACTCGTTATCCTCTTGCGGAAACAGTGCTCTGAATCCATACCGTTTGTCGGAGCCGAACAGATTTCTTGTGTAAGTTGTTGCTTTCTGTATAAATACGAAGATCTATGTTGCCAGTGTTGTAAGATTTGACTTTCTTTTCTTTTATTGTATTTTCATTTTATGATCAGGTTGGTGTTGATAACATGTGCATAATTGGAGATGTTGTGAAACGGCAACCGTTATTATGTATTTTGGACGGAGAATTTTATAAATTCAAGAAATTTTAAATTCTTGATATTTAAATTATTTTGATTTTAATTTTTATTATTATTAAAATATTTTGTTTAGATAAGTTAATTTAAATTTTTAAATTTTAAATTATTGAGTTGAATATGATAATTTGATTTTATCATGTTAAAATTAATTTTAAAAATATTTTTAAAATTAATTTTAAAAATATTTTTAAAATTAATTTTAAAAATATTTTTAAAATTAATTTTAAAAATATTTTTAAAATTAATTTTAAAAATATTTTTAAAATTAATTTTAAAAATATTTTTAAAATTAATTTTAAAAATATTTTTAAAATTAATTTTAAAAATATTTTTAAAATTAATTTTAAAAATATTTTTAAAATTAATTTTAAAAATATTTTTAAATATTCAATAATTAAAAATATGAAGAGATAAGAGATAAGATAAAATTTATAAGTGAAATAAGAAAAAAAAATGAGGAATTTCAAATTTTCACTTTTTTGGAATAATTTAAAATTATACTATTTTAAGAAATTTCACAAATGCTTGAATTTTAAATTCCTTATAAATTCTCCATCCAAACAAGGTATTTCACCTCAAAAAATTTGAAAATTTTCAAATAAATAAATTACTCCATTTAAATTCTCTATCCAAATACTATTTAATAAATTTATACTTTGAACTACTTAAACTTATATATATATATATAATTCATCTAATATATTTTTTTTTATCATATTTGCATGTTAAATTTTATAATACATAAATTAGGTATTTTCAAATAATTAAAGTCATTTAATTTTTTTCTTTTGGATTTTAAATGTTAATTAATGTGATTATTTTATCTTAAATATAAAGGTGACTTCATTTCTTTGTTGCATGGACACGGTATGCGATTGTCGTGGCCCCAAGTTTAACACTCTTAAAGAGCGAACACATTGTGGATGCAGCTCGGACATGTCGTGGATGCACCTCGAACACATCTTGGACTTGGACACACCTCGAATACTTTGACAGATTGTGTCCACACAAATTAGACACGTCTCCATCATGGACACCTACAAAATTGACGTGTCATCATCTACAAAACTAAAACTAACCTGTCTTCATTGCAAACACCTACAAATGAACACTTCTTCATCTCGATGTACTTTTAGATATGTGGATTCAAGATTTTTTTATATAAAAAGAATAAATCTCAATAAAAACAAAAATAGAGAAGTGATGATTTGAGAGTTTTTTTAAAACAAAAGAATAATAAATCTCAATAAAAGTATAAATAAAAAAGGGAGAATTTGAATTTTAAAAAAAAAATCTCGATAAAAATAAAAACAATGAAGGGAGGATTCGAGATTTAAATGTCAACTGTTGTTTCTGGTTTCATATCAGTTGTTGTGATTTGGTAGAGTCAAGTCACTTAAACTACTCACCTCAATAGTAGCAGATCTCTATAACTGATATGCATGACGATGCATCAATTGATTTATGTGTTTGTAGATTATGTCGTTCTATTGAAGGTATTGAGGTGGATGATAGTCTAATGTGTGTTTGTGTTGTTTTATGTTGTTTATGATGTATTGATGATATAATTGTACATGTTGTCTAACGATGTGTATCTGTGCATACTGAAAATGGTTAAATTGAAGGTGTAAAGATGTAGTTGTCATCTGATGAAAGTTGTGAGTGTGATATTGTCCAATGACTTTATGTTGTATTCTATCCATGATAAAGTTGCCTAGTTATACACATTGTTTGAGTGCCTTGAGTTGTATGATGAGACTTGCTATGATGTAATAAATGATGTTCATTTTAAGTTGTTTATGTTGCAAGTTGTTGTATGACAATGATTTTGTATCCTTAACTTACCCTGTGTTTTCCCTTGTGGTTTGGAACTGCTATGATCATACTTGATATGGGAGCAAGACAAGATTAGTGAGTCAGGTAGTATTCATCTAATATATTTTTTTTTATCATATTTGCATGTTAAATTTTATAATACATAAATTAGGTATTTTCAAATAATTAAAGTCATTTAATTTTTTTCTTTTGGATTTTAAATGTTAATTAATGTGATTATTTTATCTTAAATATAAAGGTGACTTCATTTCTTTGTTGCATGGACACGGTATGCGATTGTCGTGGCCCCAAGTTTAACACTCTTAAAGAGCGAACACATTGTGGATGCAGCTCGGACATGTCGTGGATGCACCTCGAACACATCTTGGACTTGGACACACCTCGAATACTTTGACAGATTGTGTCCACACAAATTAGACACGTCTCCATCATGGACACCTACAAAATTGACGTGTCATCATCTACAAAACTAAAACTAACCTGTCTTTGTCATTAAAGCCTGTGATTTATCCATGTCTGTTATGACATAGCCCAAAAGAAATAGTAAGAACAGTGAGAGAAAAGAGAAAACAATTCATCTCTGCCAAGGGAATGGATCCCTTCAACCAAGAAATCAGTCATTACAAATGAGTATCAAAATCTGACCCTATACAGTATCTGAGTTTCCCTATATTTATATTTATCCCTAGGTGCAAAACAAATTCCCTTCAATTACTAATTGTCTAACTCCCTTCCTTTTCCTTCTAGTGTACACACACATTAAATATATGCATGCCATGAATCCATTTCTGTGTAGTGCTTATATAATTATATTGATCTGCTATTGCATCATGTTTTGATGTAAATACTGCTACAATTGATTAAAAATAGGTCCTATTGTTCTTACTAGTCAATTTGGTTAATGTTGTGATTGTTGTCCAATCAATCACATACATTAGTATCAAATTTATTTTCATCTAAAAACCTGATGGAAATAATAGATCCCAAGTTTCAACTTCAAGATAAGATTGAGGAAATGAAGCATGATAATTGATTTCATATTCTTGACTTCTTTGAAATTTTTTTATAGCTTGAGCAAGGTTCTTTAATGGGAATCAACACCTACCACATAGAACCACCTAAATGTATGTGAAGCTTTGGTGGGTTAAGTAGAGTTTTTTAAGCAAGTAACCATCAAATACAGTTCTTAGCTTTTGGAAATCAAGTACAGTGTAGATGGAATCGATAACATTAAATATAAATGCTAGACTTATAGTTAGATGTTGTCTTGATTTTTTTTATAATGTTAAAAGTTATTACTTTAATGTATCTTTATGTAATTATATTTGGACAAGAAGCATACAAAACACATAAATATTATTATAATTATAAGTAGAATTTACTAAAATAAGTGATCCTACACTACAAAAAAGGTATTGATTAGTGACAAAATATCAAAATATTTTGTGATTCGGTTTAAGTTCCCTTTAATACGTTTTTAGTCCCTACATTTTAACATAAAGCCACATCACTTTTGGTAAGTGTAGCAACTAAAAATCTATTAATTTTTTTATAAGAACTAATAACAAATTTTTGAGATATTTGGAAGAACCAAAAGCATTTTATCGCCTTAATTTTTTTTTTTCTGGTAATCATATACAGTTTGCTAGTGTGCAGTGCTATGCAATTCTATTGCCATATTCAGCATTCGAGCTTAATTGAATTTACTTTAGCTTGGTCATCACTCTGCTTGTTTCAATTAGCTTGGTCATCACTATGCTTGTTTCAATTTGAAATAGTTTCTGAAACCAAAACCCAAAAAGTGAACGCAAAAAACCCATGTTATATGCTTCCTAGTTTTGCAATCTCTTATGACTGAACTTTTCTATTCTCAAAAAAATAATATTTAACTATAAGTAAATAAAAAAATTATGTTGTGTAGTTTGACAGAAAATGTGAGAAAACTAAAAAAATGGTTTGCGGCATATATTTTGTAAAGGATAGACGTTAGAAAATTCAATTACTTTGTGGCGGTTTAAATCACTACAAAATGCATTTTAATGTATACAGTTTCTGATGACTTTAAACCGCCACAAAGTTCATCTAAGTTTTTCTTGATTTAACATTTTTGGCAGTTTTAAACCATCACAAAATTGCATTTTTTTTATCTGCCTCACATTTTTTGATATACAATTATGATGAAACGGCAAACCACAAATACTCAGTATCTTTCCCTTTAATCTCTTTCAATTGCAGAATCTTAGCACAATTGTTCATTCTTTATTCTTTATGTTTGTGTGTATGTTAAAATTACCTTTCCAAGTTAGTTATTTTGTGTTGGCAAAACTCATTATTGGTTTTATTGCTCAGCAAAATTGATCACAAGTTAAGGAAGAACACAAAGTTCAGAACCTTTTGCCATAGTGTGTACAAGGTGATGATCCATGAGAGGATCAGTATAGTTACACTAGGACCCCTGTAGAAGAGGGCATTGGGTTCTTAAATCATCAAATACTTAACAAATGTTGCTTCCATTTGCTTGGGATTCTTAAATCATCAAATACTTAACAAATGTTGCTTCCATTTGCTAGCTTAGAGGAGCTTTGCTACTAAATAAAAACTTGGTTTAATCAATTTTTTTTACCTCTATAATATCATAAACTTTACTTTTAGTTAAAAATGTTCAATTTAGTCTTTATGCATGTCATATTTGTTCTTTTTTAATCTTTGTCTTCTATTTGTATAGGGTATAAAATTTATGAAACTATAAAAAGAAGGTACACTAAAATAAATTATTTTTAATTATAAAAACTAAAAACTAAAGTTCATGTAACTATATCAGATAAAAGGATAACTAAAGCTAAAAATTTCTACTAAAATTGGTAAACATAACTGATTTTGGTCTTATTCTTTAATATCAGAACAAATTACACTCACATTCCATGTAATTTATTTAAATTGCACACAATACCCTACCTCTTTAATCCATGCAGTTTATTTAAATTGCACACAATACCCTGCCTCTTTAATCCTTATGGCAATTCTCCTAAATTATTTGAAAGACATTAAGCTGTTATACCTCTATTTCCTAAGAAACACATTACACCTAGTTTCTCGTATAGTGCACTATGCTAGTATGATCTGTTTACATTATTATTTGAAAATAAAAGATATTTTAGAATTTAGAATGCAGTATGCAATATTTTTCTTGCTTATAACACAATGGCATTAAAGTATGTTTAAAAATAACATTATTTTATCTTATAGGAAATAAGTTGAAGCTTCGATGCATTTTGGGTTTTAAATATACCATCCAAGCTCTGACACAGCATAGGGAAGACCAAGAACACGAGCTCCAACCATGGCAGTAACATTGTGGAAAGCTGAGTACCACCATTTGGAAGCCACTCTTCAATTTTCCTATCCCTCTCTGATTTTTCCTATTTTATCAACAAACAACAAATTAAATGAGCCTCAACTTCAAGCTACACAATGGCATAAAATCACTTAAACAAGGGGCTATATGCTAAAAAGGAAATACAAGAAAGTGTGTAACCAATTCACAATAGAAAATCTTATGAGGCGCTACTAAGATGATTTAATCAAACATAACACATGTATACAATGTTTGCTTACCTTATAAATGCATTCTTCTCTAAGGAATGATTTTGCACTATCTCCACTTTGCCGCCCTGAAAGAGAAGTGAATGACATATAATCCAAGTCTCTAAGGAATGCAACTGCAGCTTCTCCTCCAAGTCCAGACTTTAATGCATAACAACGCAGTAACTGGGAACTCATGAAGCTTGCTGAAGCAGACACTGACACCGCCTTCAGTGTTGTTCATATGGTTACTTCATCCGGCACAAGACCTTCATCAATCATCAAAGCAAAAAATTCAACCACATCACCAACCGCATCACAATGAGACAAAGGTCATCAATGAGTTGAAACACTCCAAAGTTCTCTTGGGAACGCATTCAAATACAGCAACAGAACTCTCAATGTCCCTGCACTTTCCATTGAATGAAGAGTTTGTTTCTTTAATGCAAGTGTGAAATAATTTTCTCCATATAAAAACTGGAATGAAATATAGATAGAGAGAAATGCTAAAAAAAAAAGGGAAAGAAAAAATATATGCAAGAGGAATGAGACATAAGAAATGAGAAAAAATTAAGTTAGTAGCTGGAACTAGAGCTATTTAATCAATATCAAAACTATATTCATCAAACATATAATTATATATTACCTTAATGCCAGCTTCAATGCATACTCTCACAGCATCCTTGACTCCAGGGCGACAAGGATCCTGAACATTTAGATTAATGTAGTTAGAGGAAGGAATACACTATAGACGATTGATTTGAAAGCATAAGGACAAAGTAAACTCCAAAGCATTAAGTTGATATATCAATACCATTACCAGCTTCTAAATGTTTTTATAAGAATACTTTCAACATCAAAAATTGCAATATTCATTACATGTGATACTGAAGTACATTTAGATCATCAGGGTTGTCATACTTATGCATCCTACCAAAAATTGGATGGGAGGAGTTGACCAGTAAATCATGAATTCATAATCCAGATTACAGAAAAAGAAAATAGATACACCTAAAGAATATTTTGCAACAATATGCAAAATACCTTTAAAATCACAACATGCTTATAAACCATTATACAAAATAGGAATTCTGTACTTGGTATAATAATTGGTTATGTGGCTCATTGTCTAATATCTTGGCGAAAAAGAAAGTAGAGTGTACTGTGTTTTTTATTGAGTGAGGATATTTCCCTCAGCTCTCCCGAGTCCCCTCCAACCATTGCTAAAAAAGAAGACCCACAAAGCAAGAGATACAACAGTTTTAGTCTTGCAGAAAGGTCTGGCATCATGGTTATAATCATAGATTTCAATAATGCCTACCATCATCTTTATGTCAGCAAGCCACTGTCAGTTAGAATATATCTAATTTTAGGGTACATTTGGCCTTAACTTTCTTTAGGCTTAAAAGTTGCTTTAAAAATAAAAAGTATAAGTTATTTAGTAGTTTTAGCTTAAAAGCTCCATTCCATTGTCTTACAACAATTGACCTGCATTATTTATTCAGGATGGGAGGGAGAGAGAGGTTAGGGTATGCAACTTTTATTAAAAGCTACATCAATTAGGCTATTTTTTAAAGCTACTTTTCCCCATTTTCTTTTACAAAAATTAAACACCTTAATTTTTCAAGAGATTTTCTCCAAATGTCCTTGACTCAGCTTTTTCCTTTTAAGGGTAAGAAAGGATAAAAAAATAAAAATTGGACCAAACACTACTTTAATTGTAGATTTCATTAGCAGCCAAGGTCACAACAGGCAAGCAGCCACAACAATTTGGATTTCTCATCTCCATCAGTCTTCAGTTGTCATCTTCAGGGTTTGGTACGGTCCTTTAAAATGTTTGGCAGCTCATTCATCTGCATTTTATGGCTACGGTGGGTTCAGTAGGATTGTAAGATCATGACAATTATACGACAAAACAAAATATCTGAATATGATCCAAGCATAAATGAGTATGCTGGAATCAAGATCACTCCACCATTCCAATCTCACAGTAGCATTTAAATTTTGACAACCATGATAACCAGACGTTTTACTACTAAACAGAATGAAACCAAAGCTCAAATCTCAAGAAGAGAAATTCAATTTCGAGTGGTGCAAAAATACTTTCTAAGTTCCAACTGCAGGTCAATAAGTGATACAAAACCCTTCATGATTCAAGGATATATAAAGTTTTGCAGCAATTTCGGCAAACAAAACATTGGACATCTCAAGCAAAATATATATTTTTTAAAGGAAAAATAGGAATCTACTCTGGTGATATACGTACACACAAAATAAATAAATAAATTAACACATACACATGGTATAAAGAATAAGAACCTTATGTTCAGAATATTGTTACCAACCTTCAACTCTGCTATCTCTTGTTCTCGTTTTGCAAATGTGACAATGAATGCAGCTTCCTTTTTCTTTGCTTTTTCAAGCTGATAACCAGTAGAAAAGTGAAATGGCTCAGTGAAATATGATCAACGTATATTGGATCATTTGAAGCATAAAAATTAAAAACTAGATTCTGAACCTGCTCTCTTAAAGACTCTTCAGGTGATTTCAGATCTTGAAGATAATTAATCACCAATTTTGGTGCTAGAAAGTATAAAGAAGAAATAATTGCTTAGCTATATATTTAAAACACAGAAAACAACTATTAACAAAACCATATCATGAATAAAAAACACAACTGTTACTTGCAAAATAATAAGCATAAACTAACCTGGAGTGGTCCCAGCAGACATAAAAGGTTCATTTTGAAATGAAAAATGCCACTTCTTAATCTCAGATTTTGCAACCTCAAGTTCATTATGGAATTATACAATGAACTGGTAAACATTTTTAGGAAACAAAGAAGGTACAAGTGAACTTATATACTGAACTTTGGGCCACTCTGTTAGGATACTCAACTCCAACAGCTTAGGCTCAGCTATCTGAATGTTTTCGAACTAACAAATGGAATTAAAAATAGTGCGTAAATTTTTTTGTAATCTCTGAAAAATTTGTTCCACCTAAAACGTTTGAACAAAAAAATTATTATGAAATATTATATAAAGCAAAAATAAGAAATCAAAATGAATATGAATCAAAAACTCACCTTAAATGGAAGTAATCGAAGAACAACATAGAGAAGAGAAAGCTTAAAAAACTCTTGCGAAATGCTTCCGTCGCAAATTGGCTCACGAACGACTGTGTTGTGCGTGAAATGAAACTGAAGGTTTGACGGAAAAAGAAGTTTGAGAGTGAACTATTCACATCACCACCGTCATTCATAATATAATAGACCATATTATTTGGTTTCAATTACATTCAACCAACTCAACATTACAATATATAAAAGCTCTCCACACGATATACCAAGTATTTTCCTTTTAAAAAAAGCAGTGCACCGTGTTTTAATAGAATATTGAAATTTTGCTACTTGATTTAAACAGTTTACGTACAGTTGGTTTTCATTCACAATTATTGAAGAAACAATGTATAGAATAAAACTTCACGACCGAAACTTCATAAGACACTTACGGGAGAAATAAAATCCATTTATATGCCAATCAAGCCGCATAATCCAACTTAATAATTCCGATTCTAAAATCTTTATAATATAGGTTCAACAATTCGAAATTAATTCTTTATCTTGTGTGATACTAGTAGCGAAAAGACTTTCACGAATCAACATTCTTATTTGCAGCTAAAAGAGAGAAAGAAATCCCTGTATTTTATAATTAGGATTTATGCATAACTGAAAAAGAAAATATCATTCATAAACACTATAATAAATAAACTTTTACTAATATTTAATATTATTTATAGTGATAATAAAAATGGTTATCTAATATTTTATAAATAGATTTGTAAGATGAAAGTTGTCTTATACTCAATAAATATTTGAAACTCATAATTTTTACATAACAAAGGAATATTGTGTATCTTTCTCCAAAGTGGGAATCCCCTTTGACCTTAAAGCACATTAATCTTCTTGATAGAAGATGAAAACTAAGATTTCACTCCCTTTGACTCTTCTTCTACACTCTTTATTTTTTGTGATTGCTAGGATTTAAGAGAATATTTTTCATTAAAGAGGGGGAATTTGTTTCACATTAGTGGATATTTATAATTGTTAGGTGAAAAGACAATGTTAGACTCCCTTATTCTTAAGTTTTGTTGATAACAAACATAAAAACAAATCATTCACTAAGACGCAAATCATTAATAAGAAGAATCATGTATATAATGATATGTTCATTAAGATGATTCTGTTAGAGGATAAGACAAACCCTTAGTCATTAAAAGAGATATGCATTAAATCTTTTATTATTTACAATCTCTAAACCATATATTAACTATGTTTGAGCAATTCCTTAACAAATCAATTTTTAAAATGTTTCCTTGGTACCAACGTTGTAGAAAAAAGAAAGAAATACATTTTTTGCATTAGAAAAGGATAAACAAATCTCTACAAACACAAAAAGTTGCAATCAAAATTTGTTTCATTACTGCATCATCCTAACACATGCATGGTCTACCTACTTGGTGTCAAAAGGTGATAAAAAACTTCCTTAATCAAATAACAAGTGACAATTTAATGAAAACATTTAGTGGAAACATTTATTACACCAACAAACACTTCTCTTCTTAGGGAGCAAATCATGAAGACAAAAGAAGCAAGTCATAAGAGAGAAGCCCAATAACTTGCAACTATCATCTTCACTAAAACCATATAAAAGGAAACTTAAAGTTAAAAAAAAAAAAAAGAGGTCGATAATTGCAAAAATTACATTTTTTCTATCTGTGAAAAGACTTTGTACTTAATTTATTGTATCATGTCTTGATAGGAAGACAAAACAACGTTGTAAATCTTAGTAAATCTAAGTTATTGGGTTTGAGCAGGAGAGACTTGACTATAAAAAAATACTTATTATTGAAGCTTGGACAAACTTTGTGCGAAAAAGAATACTATAGTAGATTGCTTGAAGAGACAATTCAAAGAATACTTAGGGTTGAGTCAGAAGTGACTTGGGAAAGAATATTTGTATCTTTGATGAGATAGTGGAATTTGATCTAGTTGGATGAAAAACTAGACGTAGTCTTTATGGTTGGGATGAACTAGTATAAATCTCTAAGTTCATTCTTTACTTAATTTGTCTGCTCTTTTATATCTATATCACGGTTACTACTTCACTACACTACAATAAGTGGGACTTTTTAGCAACACTATTTAACTCCCCTTTTCTCCATAGTTTATTGTTGGATCGAGTGCTAACCACTAGGCCAAAAACTATATTTGATAGTCAAGGCGTTACTCTTTCTACTTAATACTAGCAACCCAAATGTCATATGTCTCAACTGTGACTTGACCCACCTAAGCCTCTACCATGGGACAATTGATGTCACCCGACAAACAATCTCTCCCTCAACAATTGCTCCTATTGAGAATCAAATAGACAACCTTAGCTTTGATACCAATTGTTGGATCGAGTGCTTACCATTAGGTTAAAAGTTATAGTTGATAGTTAAGACGCAACTCTTTCTACTTAACCATAGCATTCTAAGCACATGTGTCTCGATTATGACTTAACCCACCTAAACCTCCACTATGGGACAATTGATGTCACCCAACAAACAATAACCCCTTAAAATTCTATTCCCACCAAATAACAATTTATTTTCAGAAACTACTTCATTAAGTCCATTTACAATTTAGTCACTAATTATTTAATTATTAGTCCTTTTATACATCACATACCTCTCGCATGAGACATAATTATCTTGCACAACTAAAATCCTTTCGCTATAATGCATTGCTTTCTAATCTCTACAATTAAATAAATGTAATGTGACGTGCGACACTCTCTACTCCATATACTAACATAAACATATAAAATAAGAGGATGGGAAAGAGTTTGAAAATAAAATTTACTGTAAAAGAAATGTTCAAAAATTCCTTTAGATAGAAGTATCACATATAAAACATATCAATCACAAAGTAGTAACGTAAATCCTACTATGAATGGAATCAATAAGCCATGAAATCCTTGTTAAAAAATATTATGTGGCTCATATAAAAATTTATGTTTAGTTAATTATCCTATTAATATAATTAATTAATTGATAATAAAGAGTTGTTATAGAATAATAATTAAGTATTAAGAGTCATAATAAGTATGTTTATTAGTTTTTAATGGAGGAACTAATGGAGGATTATTATAATAATAAGGTACATGGCCCCTGATCTTGCCTATAAAAAGACCTATGGTGTTCTATTGTCTAACGAGCTTAAGGAAAGACTAAGATTAGAAGAGTTCTCTATTTTTTTAAATATCTAAAATACTTGGTTGCATATTTAGTAGTTTGGTAGCAGTGATTACAAGAGGTATGTTTTTGCTATTATAAGTTATATATCTTAAGGTTTTAATTTTCTTACATTTGGTATCAGAGCCTACTTAGTGAAAATAACAAATTACAATGGAAATAAAAATTCAACTACTCAAATTAAATAGTATGAATGAAATCTTAATTAGTCCTAACTAATTCCCCTGTGTCATGTATCCTATCAGAGCAAAACCTAACATTTGAGGTCTAAGCCTCATCACTAACATCATCAGCACCATGATGATGATCACCTATAATAGCCACAAGAAAACAACACAAAAGAAAAGGGAGTGAGAAAGATCTTACTCTGGCTCGCGATAAAGGAATGTAAACCAGTTAGCCAAATACAAACAATACATACAATAAGAAATAACATACATAGTTACACATTATCAACATATCTAATTCATTCATATCATAATCAACAATAACATGTAAGATTATGATGCATATGTAATGGGCATAGATGACATGTTGTCATGCACGTGTCCAGTAAAATATCACTCTTGTGCATTGCCACTAGCAACATACTAGAGTAGTCAAGGAGTATATGTCAGGTCACACCGTTTACGCACTCTCACTAGAAGGACATACTACCAAGGCTTGGTCAGGATAACTACCACGAAAGATACATCCCATGCTCACGAGGATAGGATTGGGACTTCCAAAACAAGTTATCCCTAAGGTTGGTTCCCAAGTTTTTACACAAGGGACCTTCCCTTCTAGTGTATTCCATATCGTACCCTTTAAAAATATTTTATGCATATGATGCATGTCAAATAGACTCTATGCATTATGTTCGTATGGTTCCATGATCTCACATTAACATTCTCCTCATATCACATTACCCTTCATTCATATTCATATGTTAATAAATTGATATCAATTCATATCACATTAACATTATAATATAGGATCACAACATAAGTTATTCATATTCATATGTTAATAAATTGATATCAATTCATATCACATTAACATTATAATATAGGATCACAACATAAAACTTAATAAAAGCATAATAGGAGATTCGCAAGCAAGACAGTGCCCAATGACACACACCTGACACCTTACACCTAGCATGAGTCCTCTAGAGGATCACATTGGTCTTTATTTAAATTGTTCTTGACGTGACCGAGACTACGCCCAACAAGAACACCATCGAGAGCCCTCTGGAGTGTCCACACCCAACAAGAGTCAGCTCGTGCTCAATGAAAGCATCATAGGGAACCTGTAACAGCCCAGCAACCCGCATGTGGATATTGTCCGCTTTGGCCGCAGCCCTCACGGTTTGGATTGTGAAGTCCCCCATCGGTTAAGCAGGAGAACGAAGCATGCCATATATATGGGTGTGGATACCTTCCTTGTGTGGACGCGTTTTGGGGTGGCATGCGTGCCATTGCCAGAAGCAAAACCATGAGGGTTGCGGCCAAAGCGAACAATATCCACATGCGGGTTGCTGGGCTGTTACATTTGGTATCAGAGCCGGGACCCGGGCCGGTGTGCCAGCGAGGGCGCTGGACTCCCTTGAGGGGGGTGGATTGTGAAGTCCCACATCGGTTAGGAAGGAGAACGAAGCATGCCATATATATGGGTGTGGATACCTTCCTTGTGTGGACGCGTTTTGGGGTGGCATGCGTGCCATTGCCAGAAGCAAAACCGTGAGGGCTGCGGCCAAAGCGGACAATATCCACATGCGGGTTGCTGGGCTGTTACAGAACCCCTAGAGCTTTCAGGCTCTAAGAGATTCATCTCACACTTGATGTGAGAGACCTTGAGAGAAAACTTTGCTCTCGACCTCAATGACGCCTGATGTGCCCCAAGTGGCACCTAA